GCCATAAAACGACAAAACACACTACCAAGGAAATATAGAGAAGTTGGTGTGGAGGGGGGGGGGGGGACGCCTACCGCAATTCCCATAAATAAAGTTAAAAGGGTGCAATATATGGCCCATATCGACCAAGTAATACATGCTTTGTCAGTTTTTTAACTTTTTATGTGCCTTAATCACTGTACTCGCCGATTTTTGTCGTTAAACTTTATACTGTTTTATTTTTTAAATTTTTATCCTTACTTTACGGGACAGCGTTTTTTTAGTTCTTAAAATTTTAAAAAAGCAAATGCTGTTATAGTCAAAAGTATGAATAGTTTCCAGCGCTAAAGATCACTTGTAATTTGTCAGGTATGAGACTTTTCCTTGTTTTATTCAATCTAAGGATTTTCATTGTAGGACAAATTATCCTTCAAATATGAATAGGTGGAAATAGAGTTAAAGAAAGATGATAAAAATGAAACAAAATTTCTTACGAATTAAAAAGAGAAAGAAAACACGTACACACGAGAGTGCATGCATTAAACTTACTATATTTTAAATGTGACCACTTAAATATATCTCCAATATTCCCCGTTCTTCTTTATGATACACAACTTTCCGTTGTTTTATATTAATGATCCATTTTTTATTTAGAATTTTATTTAAACTTTAAATGCCTTTGCAATCTCTAGAAAACTGGTTAGCTTAGTTAAACTCAAATCCAACGTAACAAAACCTACAAGACAACAAATTCATCAATTTAAAAGCCCAATTTATCGGCTCAAAAAACATATATTGACAACTATCACTTATTGCGTAGTGATTTATATAATATTAGTGATATATATAATAATTTGTGTCACATTGGTAAAAGTAATATAGTTATATAGAGTAAATTGTGTATTACTATTTTTTAAAATTAAATATATTAAATAATATGCAAGTTTGAACAGAATCACTAAAGTATCCGTAGTTCCGTACCTGCACTTGTTTCTATATTTTTTTGCAATACCTGTACCCCTATTCTTTATTTAGCGAATAACTTTTCTCATTATTGTTGAATATTATTTTTTGCCAACTCGAGTCTAACTTTCATTATTTTTTCCCTTTTGGTCGTAACTATTCTTCTTCTTTTTTTTTTTTTTTTTGACAACATCATTAATGTTGTTTTTTTTTTTGTGTTTTTGGTACGTGGTCTTAACTCTTTTTCTGAATTAACTTATGTTGTCTGATAGCAAACCATTTAACAGAGGCCCATTAAATGTGGGCTTAATGCGGGGCCAGGGCCCAAGCATTATTAATCATTAATCCTCAAAATTGAAAATTCCCACAATCCCACCATAAATATTCGGAAAATTCATGCACTCAAAAGTAACCAGCCGTTTTGAAAAAACAAAAAGATAAACAAACAAAAGAAAAGAGAAGTGCAATGGGACACTTTCCTTTGGAAGTTAGTTATGTGGGTAACCTTCGTTGTTGTTAAGTAGTAATGCTGAATTTGATCATCTTTAAGCCCTTCTGACATATAACTTCATGTTATTTGCATTACCTCTGCTATGGCATTCGGATCAATACTCACTTCAACTGAATGTAATTTTATATGTAACTGAGGTTTGAGAAGGTTTCTAGTTTGTAAGTGTTTTGTGCCACACGCGTGCCTATATGATGTATCTGTGCTGCCAGAGATAACTCATTCTTTTTGTGTCAATTTTAGAAATGATTAGGTGTTAGGAGGCTCTTATTTGTTACAAGGAAAATGTTAAGATTGATGGAGCTACAGAAAAGTACCAAACTCTTGTCTGCCTTCTGCAAAGATTGCTGTGAGAAATTTATTGCAATCTTTCATAAATATTCTTGGAGATGATGATGCTATGATATAATTGTTTTGTGCAAGAGATTAAGAGAGGAAAATTACAACGTCAAGTTTAAATTCAGTTAGTGACAACATGCTAAAGCATATTGCATGGTCCTTTCACCTTTCCTAGGCTTGCTTACGAGGTAATGATATACTTATCCATGTGATTCATAAGAATGTCTTCCTTTACAAGTGCAAATCCTCATGGTTCTATAGCTTTAGGAAAGAAAAAAGAGAGAAGGGCAAGAAATGGAATTGCTGAACTTATTTATTTGACAATTTTCAATAATCTATTTACTGAAGTTACGATTGTCTACTGGACTTGCTGACATCATAAATGTGAACTTGATATCTCTTATGAGTGGGCGCTTTATGATATCCTTTGTCTTTTCTCATTTTATAAGCTTACTATTTCACAAAATTTCTTAGAAGTAAATCTTGATTAACTTTTTGATTATGACTTACATAACCACATCTGAAATTTCCACATTTGCATTTCATGGTAACATAATCTTTCATTTTTGGTTGTCTTGTCTCGTATTACAACAGAATTAATATACAATTTGGGTTGTGCTTACCTATAATTTATTCTGCAGAATCTTCTGCCAGCGAAACTTTACTTAGCCTGCTTGGCAACAATTTGACAGTGTTATTTGCAATTTTATTTCTCCCATTTCGGCGAAGATGTGATCTCAAGAGAGCTCTCCTTGCCGCTTCTTTCTCCATATTGGATTTGGTTTTGCCATTTGCAGTAAGACTTTCTTCCATGTAGATTCCTTGATTGTTGCTCCTGCTGCAGGTATCAGGTTCCTCAAGACTGAAAATCTCAGAAGCCATAGTAGTTTTGAACGTGCAAAACAATATGTTCAAGAAGCTTTGACAGAGATGGATATCGAAGAGTGGTGATTAAAGCACGATATGAGTCAGATTTTAAAGTGAATATGTTGGATGGATAACAAGTGCATCTAAGAGCAAGAACCAGGTTGATGGGGCGCAAAAAGAATCACATCTAATGGTCCATTACTAGTGGAATAAGTAGCATACCTTATCTATTAAGAAACTTAATTTAATATTGCCCCGTGGCATTGGCGTTGAACCATTTCATTTATCTAGCCTTTAGAGGGACAGAGAGATGCATTCATAGATCTTTTATTCCTGCAATGTATGGAGTAAGAATGAATTGACCGAATCATAATGGTAGCAAGATAAATATTCCCAAATTTAAAGCTCGTGAACATAATGGGGTTTGTACACAACTTCTTCTGTAGCTAGTTTCGTTTACCGTTGGAGAGGGTTGAAACTTGAAACTCCCCTTTGACCAAATCAAGAATTTTGTTCATTTCCAAACTAGAAAATGTCTATTATTACTTATATTTAAAGGATTTTTATTATTAATGTGATTATAAGAAAGAAGAAAAGATATTTTAAACAAAAATTATTTAAATAAAAATAAATATTTAGAAGTGACAATAGAAATATTCGCTAAACTAAACTAGCCTTGTGGCAGGAAACAAAGAGGTGAAACTTATGGGGAGTGTGTAACCAGTCACTATATTTTATTCTTTTTTTCCTTTGTCATTATCACTGGATCTTATTCGTTTTTGGTATTTGGACATGGATAAAGCATCATGCCATAAATTGCAATTTGTGATTTAGATAAGGCTCGGGATAAACAATGTGTTGGGACGCAGGGAAAGGGATTTTGAATATATCTGAGAAGAATCATCTCAAGACAAAAGGATAAGATGAGTCTTAAATGGTTGACTAAAAAAAAAAAATTATAAATGCAAATAAAATTTTAAATATCATATTTCACCCGGAACAAATCATTTTAGATAAAGTATAAAAGGGATAATAAAATTTATAAATATTTATTAGGCAAAGACAAACTTGATGTAATATTGCATAAAATAATGTTATTTGAATATTTATTAATGGCCAAAATTGAAAGCAACCTTTGTGGTATTTTGATATCTAAATCTAAATTTTGAACGTCGAGAACACTTCTTAAACCTAATTAAGATTATGTATTTTACAAATAATTTAGAGAAACCTATAATTAGTTTTTTATTCTTTTGCCATTATAAGCCAACGTCCAACGGATTATTCTTGGAGTACCATCACTCCACCGACTTTACACCGCCAATTATCCATTTGGTATTTGTTCGTTTTAAAATTAAATAAATTAATTTTGATAAAATTTATTTTCAATTACTAAATATAATTAAAATGCATATATAAATTAATTTTAATTATATATTTTTATAAAAATAAGAAAATTATTTTTTCAATTCATCATATGCAATTTCCACCTCTTAAAAAGCACTTTTTTGGATTTTGTACCTATGCCCCGCACTTGAAGCCTTTCAACAAAGAATATTAAACTCCAGGGAAGAATAATAAACCGTCCATTTCATATTACTTTACCCCAAATCTGAAACAGAGAATATTTTAGCTTTCTAATTTTTAAATAATTTTATGCATTTTTTCTCTTTGCCTTCATCTATCATTCTTTTTCTATAATTTAGCATATATATATATATATATATGTTCTTTGCTTCTCATTTCCTGTCTAGAAGGAGAATCAAAGGATGGCTTAGAGTACAAGACTTGAGAATACTATGGGCCTTGAAGAGAGTGAAATACAAGTAAATCTACCTCAAAGACTTGAGAGCTTATTTCCGTGACTATATTCTATAATCATCATGACACAAAACAACAACGTTATTTTTTATTCCAAGAATTGCAAAAACCTTTTAAGCACAATACATTTACAACTGTTCTCTCTGGCTTTTGTTAACATTTGCAAACACTGAATTAACTGAAAGACACATATACTTTGGGAGAGCAAAGAAGAATACTTTTCACATGTTTGCTGTATCATGACACATGAGCACTGGCTTTATCCTCATCTCACAGTGCCTTTCAAAGCTAACCTTTTTGTGCTAATTATAAATTAATATTAATAAATTTCTCTTGCGTGAATGCTTAGTGTTAAATCCTACAACCTGGGAATCTCTGGCCTTTAAGCAACCTTTGCTCCAAGCAATTCTGCAACTCTTCCTTTCTTCTTCTCAAATATTCCCTGAATAACATAAAATCTTCATTTTCTCTTTTATTTCTCCCCTATGAATTGTGCATCTTCGGAACTCAAACAGTACCACGGAAAATGGCAGTCACACATGCTGACCTTGAACCAAACAGAGGTAAAACAGATTTGAGTAGCAAAACTGGTGCATTCCTTACGGTTCTCACAATCCTATTGGGCCTTTTCTGCTTCATTCTGTGTCTCCTAGCAGAAGCCACGCGTTCTCAGGTACTAGTTCAATTAATTTGTTTCTGAGTTACGACAAATCTATGGTCACCCAGTGTAATTCATTTTTGAAAGTTAACTTATATATTAATTATATTAATTTTTTAACTTATGTAATATTTTATGGATACAAAATTATATGCAGTAAATTTATACTGAAAATTACAAAGTTTAATACAATTCAACGTGTTGATTCTATTAAATACAACAAATTTTAATAAAGTTTAAAATAATTTTTTGACCTCACTTTTGAGTAATAAAAATATTCTTAACACTCCCAATGAATGAAAAAAATGAACATTTCGTATAGTTTAGAATAATCTGGTTGGTTTGATATGCAGGTGACATGGATAAGCACAAGTGAGAATGGAAAGGGAAGCAAATCTGAATGTGTTTATAGTGGTAGTGGGAAAATGCCATTGTTATGCGCTGCTTGTGCATTTATTGGACTAGCAATTGCCATGCTGGTGGAGCATACATTTATGTTGATTGCTGTTAGTAATTCACCGCCTGCTTTACTAACCTGTGATTCTGATTCTGCTTTTGCCAAATCCTTAACATGGCAAGCGAGTTTTTTCTTCATCACAACATGGTAAGAAGAAAGGCATTTACTTGTGTTATTTTTTCACTCTTGTTTCATGCTTACCCGAAAAACCATGTACATTGATTTAACACATGGGGTACGTTGTATGTAGGATTTGCTTTGCAGTTGGGGAGATTCTATTGTTGGTAGGAGTGAGTGTAGAGAGTGGTCATTTGAAGAATTGGTCAAAGGCTAGACCCACTTGCCTTAGCATTGGAGAAGGGTTGTTTTCAGCTGCAGGGGTGTTTGCTTTAACTACGGTCTTCCTAGCTTGTGGTTTATACATAACAGCACTACGTGCGCTAAGAATATTATCAGAGGTGGATGCTTCTTCTTCAGTAAGAGGAGCAACTACAACTCAACTTTCACGTTTGACGAGCGTTGACAGAGAGAACCCAGCAACTAGAGAGAGTCCATTGTCTGTGTTTCCAACTCCTTTCAACAACAAAAGCTACAGCTTTGTGTAAACTCACGGGAAAGTATATTTTGAGTTTGAGCCTAATCTGGATCTCACGCCAGTAAAGTGGAACGTGTAAATTTGATTTTGTAGTCACTTTGTAAATCTGATTCCTTGCGTAACTTTTCACAAACTGTGGATATTTCAATAATCACAATAGTGGTTTTTATTTAATTGAGATGGCAAACGTACGTACATGTGTCTACCTCTACGTGTAAAACACAGTATTTTTACGACTTAAATTTTGTGTTATTATGTCATATAATCTGTATGCATAAAAATATTTTTTTAATTTACTCTTAATTTTAAATATTTATTATTTATTTTAAATTTTATTTTTTGTTTTATGTTGTTTAATACAATATATTTAAATACTTATTATTAATAATTAAAATATTTAATCTTTTTATAATTTGTAATTTTTATTAAATTTAAAAATAAATGTATCTTATATTTTTAATTTAGTAATACCTATATAGTTCATGAAAAATCTATAATTTACTATAAAAGGACCCGCACATCAATGTTTGAAAAATTTTATAAAAATTCATGAAACAATTTATAATTTTTACAATTTTTTCAGTAAAATTTTAGATTATAAAAAAAATACTTTATTTTAACAAATTATATAATTAAATTTATATCATAATTTTTTATATGAAAAATTTATTAAATAAACTATTTACTTCAATACGAATGTATAATAATTTGAATTAAAACAGTGTTTTGTGTGTGAAATCAGAAAAAATTGTACACACTTTTCTTCAAATTAGATCAAGCAAAAACTTCTTCAAACAATCTAATTTAAGAATGAGAATTTATATAAGGGAGAAAAATATTTGAACTGTTTGAAGCACAAAGAAAACAACGTTCTTTTCGTATACCCATTTAAGATAATTGCATTTAAATATAAAACAAAATGTGAATAATAACTTTTAAACGAACTTTAAACAATTACAATAATAATTTTATTATTTTTTAATAGGCTTTTTGTCTACGATTACTTTGTAATTGTTAAAGTTGCCTTTAAGAAATTGTGCTAACAAAATAGTTAAATATAAATTATTCTACGTCATTTTGTTATTAACATTATTTTATAAGTAAAGTTGTTTAAAATCAAGTTTATAAACGTTGAAACACTCGTCAAAACAAATGGAGTGATTCGGATTATTTTTCTTTGAATTGAGTTTGGCCATTGATATGGGTATGGATTTAAAGATATAAAATATTAATAAAAAGCTCGTGGACATTATATGATTTTTTAAAATTTAAATAAAAATTTAAAAAATTAAAATAAGATATTGTTGCCACTAATAACAAACTTTTATTTCAATAAATAAGAAAGTTTAAAAATGAATGAAAATATTGAAATTAAGATGAATAAATAAATTTACTGGTTGAATGAAATGACCGTTGAAATTTCAAAAACCCGGGTAGCTTGCAGTGTGATTCAGGTATGATTTATTATTGAGGATCCATCGATGGATTGGATCCACAACCACAACCCGAATTGAGCGCCAAGGTTTAGGTTTAAGTTTAGATCTAAGATCCAAAGGCCGCACATAAAGCTATTTGCACATCCAATCCAAATTCTCAAAGCTAGTTGCTAGGGTTTTGCTCTCCTTCACGCTACGGTTAATTCTTCTGTATACGTCATTCCGTCCAAACCATGTCGCTCAGGCCAAATGCCAGGACCGAGGTTCGCCGTAACCGTTACAAGGTCGCTGTTGACGCTGACGAGGGCCGCCGTAGAAGAGAAGACAACATGGTTGAGATCCGCAAGAGCAAGCGCGAAGAGAGCTTGCAGAAGAAGCGTCGCGAAGGCCTACAAGCTCAGCAACAGTTCGCCGCTCCTCTTCAAACTTCCACCGTTGACAAAAAGGTACATCATCATTGCCGCATCTTCGCAATTCTTTTTCCTTGCTGTTTTGGTGCAAATTAGGGTTCGATCGTGTTACGTGGATTTCTGATTTTGTGATGTTTGATCGCGTGGCTTGATAGGGTTTTTGAGTGTTATGTACTGACATGGTGGTTAGTTATAGGAATGGTTTTGACGGTTATTTGTGTCTGTCTGGTGTTACAGTTAGAGAGTCTTCCTTCAATGGTGGCCGGAGTCTGGTCGGAAGATAGTAGCCTGCAACTGGAAGCCACCACGCAATTTCGCAAGCTGCTTTCAATTGGTAACTGTCAATCACTTAGTTTTAATTGTTGTTTTCTGAATCGTGTGTTTTGTTTAGCATCTGTCGGTTAATGTGGTTATTGATTTTTGCTATAGAACGTAGCCCTCCAATCGAGGAAGTCATTCAAGCTGGTGTCGTGCCACGTTTTGTTGAATTTCTTGTTAGGGAGGATTTTCCTCAACTTCAGGTTTGAATTCTTTTGCTTTGCACCTTATGTGTTTTTCCTTGTGTATCATTGTGTGATGTAGAGTGGTTGAAATTCATTGGTTACTTGTGTCACGTGTTGTTTGTTTAGTTTGAGGCTGCATGGGCTCTCACAAACATTGCATCTGGAACTTCTGAGAACACCAAGGTGGTTATTGATCATGGAGCCGTTCCTATATTTGTCAAGCTACTAAGTTCTCCTAGTGATGATGTTCGGGAGCAGGTATGCTATACCTGATTGTGGCAGTACCAGCATCTTCCTTTTAAATTTTCTGAACATTAGTTCCCTGAAATTACAGGCGGTGTGGGCTTTGGGCAATGTTGCTGGTGACTCCCCTAGGTGTCGCGATCTAGTGCTCGGCCATGGTGCCCTCATCCCCCTATTGGCCCAGTTGAATGAGCATGCAAAACTTTCAATGCTGAGAAATGCCACATGGACATTATCAAACTTTTGCAGGGGCAAGCCACAGCCTCCATTTGAGCAGGTAATAGTAATATCCTTTTCTCTCGTTATTGGTTAATTAATTCAAATTTTTGAGATACTTTTATGGCACATTCTTATTGGCTATTGCTAATGTTTATTTGACAGGTGAGACCAGCACTTCCAGCTCTTGAGCGTTTGGTTTTTTCCAACGATGAAGAAGTTTTGACAGATGCTTGCTGGGCACTGTCATACCTCTCTGATGGCACAAATGACAAAATCCAAGCAGTTATTGAGGCTGGTGTTTGTGGCCGACTGGTGCAGCTCCTTATGTGAGCCTTAATTCTACTATACCTGTTAAAATATATTCTGTTGTTTCAAATGGTTGATTGCCCTAACTTTGGATCAATGCTTTTCAGGCACCCATCCCCCTCGGTGCTGATTCCTGCTCTTCGTACAGTGGGAAATATCGTGACTGGAGATGATATGCAGACTCAGGTAATGACTTGTTAACAGTTGTAATAATTACTTGATACTATTGAGAAGGAGCAGAAACTTTTTTCGGTCTTCTTTTTTGGTCCTAATTGTTCCAAATATTTTCTTATTCAACTCATGTTTGTTGAAAATTTAATACAATAGTCTTTGCTCTTACAAAGGGTTTTCATTCATTGTGTTCTTCTGTTTTGTTCGTGAGTATCACTGTTTTTAATAATTTCCTAATTCTGGTGTTTGTTTTTTTTCTATTAGTGTATTATCAATCATGGTGCACTCTCTTGCCTTTTGAACCTGTTGACACACAATCATAAAAAAAGCATCAAGAAAGAAGCTTGTTGGACTATATCAAACATTACAGCTGGAAATAAGGAACAAATACAGGTAAGCCTGCAAAACCCTATTATTTGTCACAACAAATTCTATGTTCGGTAGCTTTGTTGCCTTGAGTCTGCAACCAATGCCAATATGCTAAATTGAAATTATACGTCAGAGAGGATTTGATTCTGGCTTCTTGTTATTGTAGATGTGTTTTTGCTTCTGTCATTTGTGGACAATAAGTAGTTAAGGTGAGGATGTAGTGGAATTTTAACCAACATAGACTTTGTCCTTGAACACACCAACAGGGAGAATGATGATTGATTTAGTCTCAACTCCACCTGTCTCCCCCTCCTTCCAAAAATGGAGTTTAATATTATGCAGTGTGACATTGTCCTTTGTTTTTGTCTTGTTCCACAAGAAGAGTTTGAGTATGAGGTCAGAGCTAGCTTATGAAATTTGAATCATCCATTAGATTGGAGGAATTTTAGTTTTTGTGTCAACGTCCAAGTTAAAAATTGTCAGTTTGTCACAACTACACCATTGAAGGGAAGCTACTGTCTTGCTGGGAGCAGGGTTTTGATTTATTTGTTAATTTATTTTTCAATTTGAGATCTTAAATGAGTTATAGTCTGCATATATAATAGATTATTGAAAAGTATAAGATTTTCTTTTTGTGTTTTTCCTTTAAAAGGCTTCTACATTCTATATATGCAGGCTATTATTGAAGCTGGTCTGATTGCTCCCCTTGTCAATCTACTTCAAAATGCTGAGTTTGACATTAAAAAGGAAGCTGCTTGGGCAATCTCAAATGCTACATCGGGTGGAACTCATGACCAGATCAAGTATGTGATTTTCTATGATTAGTTGTTCTTTATAATTCCAACTTTGTAAACTTATGGTATTCACTTATCTTATGGGATTACAAGGTACTTGGTGAGTCAGGGTTGTATAAAGCCTCTGTGTGATCTGCTTGTTTGCCCCGACCCAAGAATTGTCACTGTCTGTTTAGAAGGCCTAGAAAATATTTTGAAGGTTGGAGAAGCTGAGAAGAGCTTGGGTAACACTGGAGATGTCAACTTGTATGCTCAGATGATAGACGATGCTGAGGGATTGGAGAAGATTGAAAACTTGCAGAGTCATGACAATAATGAAATATACGAGAAGGCTGTTAAAATTCTTGAAACATACTGGTTGGAAGAAGAGGATGAGACACTACCTCCTGGAGATAGTGCTCAAGCCGGTTTCAATTTTGGAAGCAATGAGCTTCCAGTCCCGTCTGGTGGATTCAACTTCAGTTGAAGACCTTTTCTTGAAGGTAAAATGATATAACAATTTCTTGGCTCATTTAGTACGAAAAGCTTCTACATTATCTCTAAACCACTTGGTTTCAATCATTGGCTCATTGTAGGTTTGTGCTGGGTGGCTGTTGGGATAAAGTCTTGGATGGTCAGTCATTGCACCTTGTGTTTGGTTTCAGTCTTGTCTGGGGTCCTTCGTGGTTAATGAGGTGCTGGGGGAGGGTCTGTTTACACTACCATGTCCAAGTAAGAAGAGGCTGGTGGATTTAACAGCAGCATAATAACCTTTTCCGCGGTGTTTGTTGTATTAAAAATATATAATGCTGGGAAAAAGTATCCAGAAGGTTATATGTTGCAGTTGCGGGGACCTGGGTTAATATGGCGAGGGGATATTCTTCAATGCGGCTTTGAGTGCCATTTTTATTGAGTCTTAGTTGTATTGGTAAGTTTTACAGAGTCAGTATTTGATTTGGGTAAATATATTATTCAGAAACCAACTTATGGTCTATTCCAATTTCCAAGGCAAGAATTAGTGATATTTTTTTGCGTGATTTTGAAGCTTTTGCTTCCCAATTATTTCCCTCGCAAAGCATTAGCCCCTGAATATGCAATATGTGCTGGGTTAATTGAACTGGTTCGCATATCAATAAAACAGGCTAAGTAAGTTCTGTATTTAGGATCTGCATCATGCTTTGAGATGTCACGTAAGAATATATAATTGGTCTTAATGATCATCAACGCATAATATTAGGTATTTCAAGGAAAGTGTTTTTTTCTTCTTCCAGGTTTCCTTCCTTCCAACCTCCTTGACCCTTGAGAGCAGACATCTTAGGTAGCCTACGTTGAGAACACCCTTACATTAACTTAATCCAAATGGTGAAGAAAGGACATGGTTTACGATGTCCTCTCACTTTATCTGATGCGTGAAAATAAAGTGAAAATAAAATTAAGTATTCGGTAGCAATTTTTTGAAGTGTAAGAACGGGCAAAAAAAAAAGTTTCATTTAATATTTAAAAAATAGAACAAAATGTGATTTGTTCAGCTCGTGCTTATCTTTGAAGACAATGAAATTTTATTTATTATTGAAGTAAAAAGTGAAACATCTTTAAAAAAATAATATAAAATACCACTGTGAGTACTGCTATGTGTTTTGTTTAGCTCGTGCGTTATCTTTGATGGCAATGAAATTTTATTTATTAATGAAGTATAAGGTGGAATATGTGAACATAAAATTGTAAGTAATGTAAATGTTCTTTAATTAAAATTAATATTTTATTTTAGTAATGGTCATTTTTATATCCTCTTCTAAAAATAATATCAATTATTGAGATAAAATATTTTATTTCAACATCATAATTATTATTACTATCATAATTATCACAAATTTTTTTGGTGATTTAATTTTATTCTATGGTGGGAGAGTTTTGCAATACTTACATTGAATAGTAGATACGATCGCATAGATGTGACCTTTTTTACCTTCACTTTTGACATATTCATTTTCTTTTCTTTTCTTTTTTTACAAAGAATAGGCATGGTCTCTCTTTCTCACTTAATATGTTGTCAGTAACTTAAGCTCTATTTAACATGATTATCAGTTTCATTAATTCTTTTTAATAGTTAAAAATTAGTTTATTTTTATGATTTTTACTTTTAAATTTTGTGAATTTTAATTTTAAATTTTAATATGAAAATTTATGTAAAATTACTATTTATTTTCTTATTTAGGCTTGTGGTCACAAGGGATACAAGAGTAGATGAAGAGGTAGGGATAATAAAATCAACAAACTTATAATAGTTGTAATAATAATGCTTATTATAATAATAATAATAATAATAATAATAATAATGATTGTTGCGAGTCTCTTAAGATAAACAAATATTTTTTTATAGTCTTAGCTTTTTATAAAAATTAAAATTGACAACTATATTGAATATGCCTAAAATGAAATTTTATTATTATTTTAAAAAATCAGTTAAAAGTGTTTTGAAAGTGCATAAAAAACTAATTTAATTTTACTTTAGTTAAAATATGTTTCACTTTAAATTTATATTTAAAGAAAAATAGACTCATAACCATTATGAACAAACTCATAAAAATTTTGATTGTAATTTAATTATTATCAGTCAAGTATTTATATTCCTAAACTTGGTCATCATTTATGTATAAGAAGAAAAATCCAAATACTTTCTACTGCAAGGGCAGGATAAATAAGATATTCTTTTGGTTATATCTGCTAAATTTGTACAAATTAGTTATTCTTTTTTTGGAAAAACGTATAATAATAGCCAACCCAGTGTTCATTTTTCATCCCTACCCCTCTTTATTCTAATGATTTTGAAAAGAGAATATATATTTTTGTAAAATTGAGATATTGACATCTTTAGTGAATTAGAGATCCGGAATCAACACAGTATATTGGTTGGTGCCCATAGTCAAATCAAGCTCGTTCAAATTCTCCAATGACAGTCACAAAAGTGAAGACTCATAATTAAAAAAACTAATTAAAAAAAACAATAAAAACTATCCATAAATAGGTGATTCCATTAACTCTTCCATTAACTCTTCCATTAACTCAGTTGATGATTCACATTGCATCAGCTAGCAACCTCAGTGAAAGTCATTGGAATTAAAATGAAAAAACAGAAAAGGATCAATGGTTGAATTTGGGTGGTCCCAAAAGAGGCTACAGAGTATCCTTTATAACCAGAAAGGCATTTCGAGCTTTCGCTTTTACCCCCGTTTTGTTTTGTCTACTAAATTTTTGTTTATTTGTTATCTTTCTACTGATGACTGATGTCCCTTTCTATTCCTCATCAGCACTTCAACCTCTGTGTGCAATAATGTGCATCACATTCCAACATTAGTCTTTTACATAATGAGCTACTTGTTCTTCATACAATGTCGAATGTAATAATTATTATATAATATAACTGTTTTCTTTGTTCTTTGTTTGACATTTCTTACTGGCATTGCATTCTTCTGTGTGAAAATTGACAAATATTTGATTCTGTTTTGTGGTCAACGCAAATGTGTGATAAAATTTTGATTAGAACTCACCTACCAAGAAGAAATGCGTACGGACTTTAATTTTTTGCAGGAACACAAACAGAAATTTGTTTTGTAAGAAAAAAAATGTGAATTTGATTTCCTTTTTGTAAAATACAGAAAGGGTTAAGAGTGACAAGAGGGTGGATCAACTAGAATTTACATACTTAAATAAGGTCTAATTCTTGAATTTAAAATTTAAACTTAATCTATTTATGCATGCTTGATGTGCAAACATATTTAAATATGTAACTTGAATATGTAAAAAATCTTACTTTTAATTAAATTAATAAACATAAACTTATATAAAATTAATGAATTTAATTTTTTAAATAAAATAAATGTATAATTTTAAAATAATAATATTAGTAAATTTTATCATTTAAATAAGTTAACTTGTCAAGCCTAAAACATTCTTTATAACTTATTATCTCTTTTTAACTAAAAATGGACTTTAACAATATATACGTGTTTGATTTATTTAATAATCAAGTCTAACTTGAGTTACTAAGTCTCCGACAAAAAATCTGACTTGTTTTCACCGAAAGTGTAAGTCACATCTAAGTTCTTAAATAAGCCAAGAACCAATTCAAAACCAAAAGAATGTTAGTAACCAATAACCAATTGGCTAATCATACTAAATTGGAAAGATTTGTGTATGAATTTTACTTATGAATGATTATTGTTTAGACACTTATTAATTGTTTAATCTTATAAAATTAATGACTTTATTAATTTATGTTAATTTTTTTTTCTTAAAATGTAAATAATTTATATTGACACGTGTTAATTTATATAATTTTAAATTAGTGTTAATATATAGGAACCACTTGATATTTACAATTCCACTAGTCTTGTAACTAATCAGACTTTATTTGTGTTGTTTAATTACAACTCAACATTTAGTGTAAGCTAGACCGAAACTAATCTTTAAAGACATACTAACATTTGGAATTAAAAGAAGATTTTCAGCCAATCACAAGATAGAAAAAATGGTCAAACTTAAGGCAAGATATAATAAATAGACAACACGTACATATTTTAGTTTCATTAAGTCGATATTTTATTATCTTAAGCATTGCAACTATATATAAGAAAATGCAAGATTCTCGAGAAATAGACAACTCATTGGTCAAACCGAGCAACCTTTTATTAGTTTATTTAATATACTAAAAACAATGATAAAATATCAAATTCATTTCTTGTGTGTATGTGAATTAAAATTACTATACGTTGATTAAGATATTTGCTTTTACTTGTTTTGAAATTATTTATGAATAATGTTGTGTTAAATTTTAAAATGTTACAAAAAGTTATTATAAAAGAAGGTAGTAATAGTTTTGATTTATAAACAAGTATATAATGAGAACAAAACAAATGGAATATGTAATGAAAGAAGTTGAGGTGAAGAAAGGAAGGGTTAACCAGTGATGGAGCAGGAGTTCACATGTTCTGGTGACGAACTACAAAGTACCATTATTGTCTTAATTGCTAAAAGTTCTCTTTTCTTTATAAGACAACATGTGACAGCAAAGCTCTTAAGTCTCACCCATCATTATTGCCATCATTATTATTAATATCATCCTTATAATATTTGTTGCTAGTTTTTGATTTTTTAAAATGATATAGTATTAAGATTGCAAATGAACGGAATGTTAGCTGTCTTGATTATTATCAAGAGGCCATTCCATTGGGTTCAATGAAGCATGGTTCACTTTCATCAATCGCAAGCCACATGCAAAAATTAGAGCCCACACTTCTCTAAACATTATCTACTCGTGATCATAGGTTTCAATTACCCTCTTATTACCTCAATCTAACATGTTTTATGATCAGTGCATGTATTAATAGCAAAATTTGATAACTTAATTATACTAATATTTAGGGTGAAATGATTTGACACCTATAATAGTGTAGATGAAAGTAATTAAAGTGAGGTATTTGGGTCTTATAAGTAGAGATTAGTGATAGTTGAAACGTTAAGATAGAATGGCGGCAATAATAGAGTTTGAAATAAAAAAGAAGAGATGAATTAATAGATGATAATGAGATTAATAGAGGGAAAGGGGTGGCGCGTATTTGTTGATTTTGGAGGGGATTTTGGCGGGTGAAGGGAAAAGGAAGAGAGGGAAGGGGCATTATAGTAATTTAAGTAGCCGTGAGTTAGGGTTTTGGCGTCCCATTTATAAGGGTCTGCGTTTTAGATTAGATCTGCTGCGGCTGGTGCGCGTGTGTCTCTCTCTCTCTGTCGTTTCGATTCCTCTCTCTCTCTCCCTCTCCCTCTCCCTCTCCCTCTCTCACTCATCACACTCTCTCTGTTCTCAGTTCTCTGTTTTCTCACTTTCTCTCTCTCTGTAATTTGCATCTGCATGCTCCTTCTCTCACTCTGATTCTGCGAAATCACCTTCTTCCTCACTCCATCGGAATCCAATCTCAGATCTCGCCGATCAGAATGGTTGATCCAAGTGGAAAAGTGAGTCCCCAAACCTTCTCTTCTCGGTTAACGGTTCACGATTAGGGTTTCAGTTTCACTTGACGAAGCTCATTTTGCAGGGATCAGAAGGAGAGGATGCAAACCCTAACGCTGCATCATCGGGGAACAGTCCGAGCAGCAGTGAACAGAAGAAAACCTGCGCCGATTGCGGCACTACCAAGACCCCTCTCTGGCGAGGTGGCCCCGCAGGACCAAAGGTCACTCTCCATTTCTCAGATCACACTGTAATCACATCGTGATTTTGAAATCAATCTCTGATCTCACTGTTTTGTTGTTGTTTTGCAGTCTCTCTGCAACGCGTGTGGGATCAGAAGCAGGAAGAAGAAGAGAGCGATATTGGGAATAAGCAAGGGGAGCAACGAGGATGGGAGAAAGGGGAAGAGGAGCAGTAGCAGTGGCGGTGGAAGCAGCAAGGTTGGGGAGAATTTGAACTTGAAACAGAGGTTGTTGTCTTTGGGGAGAGAAGTGTTGATGCAGAGATCGCATTGGAAGAAGCTTGGAGAAGAAGAGCAAGCTGCGGTCTTGTTGATGTCACTCTCTTATGGATCCGTTTATGCTTGAAACTCAAAACTCAAACTGAAACAACCCATTTTTATTCTAGAAGATGAAGAAGAATTATTAAGAATTTTAGATTTTGTTTTAGGTTTTCCCCTAACCTTTTCCAAGTGTATATTGTTAGATTGTGTTTCTCTCTCTGGGATCATGGGGTTATGTGTGTGTGTGTGGTCAATAGTTGTAAGAAGAATCATTCAAGTCCAATTTTGGTACTAATATAGTAGCTCTCCCTGTTTCTCATTCTTGTACCTATTTATCTATCATTGCATTATTTTTCACACAAATCAACCTGTGTTGCAAGTAACTAACAACAAAATCCCTAAACTGGAACATAGATCAAGCGCTTAATGAAGCACGAGGCGAGGTGGGAGTGTGATATATAATTTCAACGAAATGAATTGAAGGTTGTTATTCGGAGGACAAATTATGAAATTTGTGGGAAAGATTTAATATGGAATGCGAATGAAATTGTTCCCTCTCTGTTGTGAGAGGATTAGGAATGAGTCGGTCATTTATGGATTTGAAAAAGTGGAATTGGGGCGAAAAGGAAAAAAATTGAAAAGAGGAGGGAACGCGAAATTCATAGTTCCCGCTAGGTTGACTAGAAAACATGCGATTCAGAAATGAGGATTCTGATTCACACTTGGGGTCTTGCCTGGTCACATTTGAAGGCCAAATCCAAAATATCCTTTGGACACAGCCACGACTACATGTACCTTATCAATTTACTCATTTGTAGATGCTCAATTTTGAGTTAAAAGACGGGATAATGACCTCATTACATCACACTTACCTTTCCATGCCTTTTCCTTGTCAAGTATATCCTTATTTCCACAACATTAATTATTTTGTTCTGTGTTCTTTAAAATCGTATTTCATTCATTCTAAATTGTTAACGACACACATTTTTGGATAATTGGCTAAATAATAAATTCACAGCACAGTTTTCGTCACAACTAATTTCGTAATATTTAGCAATTTTCTTAATCTTTTTACAATCTCACCAAAGCATATTACCGGGGCCTTGATCTTGACAAATGTGATTTTTAATTATTTCTCATGTTTGGTTGTCTTTGTGAATCCTAATTCCGCTTTATAACCGTAGAACCCTAATGGAGCACAAGCAAAAATTTGTTGCTTTTTCTTTGGTAGGAAATCACACATTGATGGTAAATTTATAGGGTGTATTTATTGTCATTTTTAGAAAATATTTATTGTTACTCTTGTGTATTATAAAAACACAAGAGTAACAATAAATATTTTCTATTTTATAATAAGATTTTTTAAACTCACTAATGCTTTGTTTGGTTGAAGAAAAAAGAAAAGAAAAGAGAAAAAAGTTAACTCAAAAAAACAATAATCAAATTATTATTTTCTTCCTTCACTTTAAATTTTATTTTTTTCTTCTCCTTGCTTGTGTTCTACTCTACCCACCAGAGGATAAACCTGTCGAACACACAACACACACGGTAGCAATCACTTTTTTTATAATTACATTTATTATTAAAACAACATATATTACCGTACTTAGAAATGAAATTGAATTTGCAAAATCTAATCCAAATCCCCACTAAGTGGAGTTTGGTACAACTACAAGATTTCAGTCATTTCTTTACTTAAATTGAGTCCTCTTTTTTGCTGCGTGAATACCCAGCATAAAATCCTAAAAGGATGCTCTACGATTATTATTATTATTTTAAACAAGTATTTGATTATGTTCTAAGTTTTATTCTGGCTGAAATCAAACATTTTATATAGATTTGCATGATTTACTATGCCTTAGTTAGGATAGATTGTTTCTTTAGAAATGTGAACTACCAAAGGTGTCATTTTCAACGTGCAGCGTCTCTAGTGGCTGGACAAAAAGTTGATAAAGATACGAAAGAAGAGCCAATATTAGTTGAGCTTTTGGTTTATTAATCAGTGAAAATGTATCTTAATCCTGGTTTACTTTGACTTGATTTTGCGGCTCTAACAACACAACCCGATTTCATGTCTTTTTGTCTTTCTTTTGTTTTTCAACTTTTTCATCTGCCTAAAAAACCACCTCAATGATTTCAGCATCATGTGTCAAGCAAGTGCCAATCGTTTGTTCATTAAATGACATAATAACGACCACATACTTACGCCACATAATCAAATATGAAATTTCTTGAGAACCCAAAACTCTAATATGCATAATGCTTAATAAACTAATACTCATTTTTTTTATGTTGCTGGTATTGAAAATTCAAGCTTTTTAACCAATTCAATTTGCTTTCCTAGTTTGATTACAATGATCAGTGTTGAATGACAAAATGTTCAACAACAATTAATTGCATGGGTATTTATGTTTAAGTAAAGTATGAAAAATTACACTTAAACGGGACCGTACCCTAGCTAAATGAGAATCAAAGTGCTGCTTAAAGTGTTGTCTATTTAATTGGATGAAAAGGACATTTCATTATAATATCACAATACTTTTTAGGTACCCATATGACATAAATTATGTAGTGACTACGAGAGAACCCAGACCAAATAGACCAAAGTAATACTATAAATAAATAAAAGGAAGCATAAATAAAAGTTTTACACAGCCGTATATACGTATTCTGTAAACTAGTGAGGAATTTAAAGAATCGTGGCTTCTGGCAATCAATGAGGACAACCTTTTTTTAACTTCCTTTTTCTGAGGCTACAGTAAGCAATAATTGATTTTGGTTTTGGTCTTCTTGCTGTCTGTCTAGTGTCTTCCCAAACGCAGTTGCATAATTTAAGAATAAATTCAAATCTTATGCTATAAATTACCTTAATTATTGAATAAAAATCTTGAATGTTTTATATAACTTAAAATATTAAATACATGTATTTTTATTTAATGCATACTTTATACAATTTTTTAAATGTATTTCTAATAATATACCATAATAATTTATATATAATAAATTTTATAAACATTACAAGTTAAGTGTATTAAAATTTATATAATAACATTAAATATTATACTTTTAAATACAATTTTATTATTTAATTTTTTATTATACAACTTACGTGCACTTTTAAAAGAATAATTTATTAACTACCAAAACGTTGTACCTAACTCGGTTCTGTCTTAGCAGTCCATTATTACCGGAGAAATTACAACATTGTATTCAAATTTGTTTTAGGTAAGTTATCACTCCATCTCATTTTCTTTTTGTCTCTCAAGGTTGTTTTATTTTATTTAAAAAAACTATTAATTAATATTTTGGTTTATATAAAATTTATTATCTAATTTTGATTTTATTCTTTTTAAAAATTAATTAATTAATTTTTTATTTATAAATTTTACTTGTTAACTCTCAATATTAAAAATATAATATATTTTATGAACTAATGTAAGTAAGTTATAAAAATATGTTATTTGATCTCATTAATTTTTTGACTTTACGATAATTAATTATCTATCTTAAGATAAATATGTAAAATAAATTAAAAAATATATATAAAGAGTCAAGGTATAGTAGAACAAAATAAATATTTTGTTAAATTTATAAAATGAAAGATAAAAAGAAATCGATTCTTTTAGGCAGTCACGAAAAATAAGTGCAAGTTATTATTGTTATTATTATTTTTGGGTTTGTATGCTTTAACTATACAACAACGACTTTCTTAGATAAACACCATTGATTGGCTTAATTATAGTGATGTATCTTATTAATATAATTTTTAATTTATATAAAATTATATAAATAAAAAAATTAATAAATAATATTTTTTATAAAAATTATATATTTAAAAATAGTACGATATTTTAGATGTTTATGATATTAAATTATCATAGTGATAATTTATCTATAAAATAAATAAATTTACAAATATAATTAATGAATAAATATTTTGTTAACACAAATATTATAATAAGTATGATTTTATTAACTTTTAAAATTGTGTTTAAGTATTTAAAAGAGTGGGTTTATTGTCTCTGAAGAGTTTATTGTCATTTTTATTTAAATTATTTTGAACTAAAATATTATTTTTCTCTTTTATAATCATAATAATAAAAATATTTTACATAATTTAAAAAAAAATAGAAGTGACAATAAATACTCTCATTCAAAAAATAAATTTTTATTAGAGAAAAACACATTTATCAAATTAAATATATAATTGTAGTAGTAAGTAAATCTTTATTTTTTAATAAAATCTTACCATTGTTAATTGCATAATCTGAACTCTTTGAATTGAGTTGAAAATCTTTTAATAACTAAGAGAATAAAAATTATTAACATTTGATACATTTTAAAAGAATTATTTATCTTAATAATAATTATTTCGTATAAAATATGGGGAACAGGTACCTAGACATTGGAGTATAAGCAGTGTTTTTGTGTCAATACTCCATGCTCACACACAAATTGTAGAACATAAACTCAAACGTTTGAAGCAGACTCAAAGGGAATTGTTATTTCCTCTCACTCTCTTCATTCTCTCTCTCCTTTCTTCCTTTTCAAATGTCTACATTGAACTCTCAGACAAACTGGAATTGCCATAGCCATGGGAGCACAAGTGCCCAAAGGTAAACATCTAAAAGAACAACCCTAATTATACAACTACATAAATGCTTGTACGCTGCTCGGATGTTTCAAAATTCTAAAATTAATTATAGATAAACAGAGCAGAGATACCAAGAGTTACAAATTTCATTCAATTTTTTTTTAAAATAAAATAAATCACTATATAGCAGCATTTTTACCTTCACGATATACATTTTTTTAATTTTTATGTCATTCATTATTTAAAATTTATTAACAATAATATTAAATAAATGTATTTATATTAAAATATATTTTAATAAAAAAATTATTACCAATATAAATGAAATACTAAATGTTTATTTATCATTTTAAAAAACATGTAATATCATTCTGGAATACAAAAAAATTAAGAAACATATAGAATAAATAAATAAGCAATAAAAAATAAAAATTGAAAAAGAATGACACTTTTAAGTATGAATGATATGCCATGTGATATTTTTAATAGAAGAGGTTTTTTTTGGTTTTTGTTTTTGTTTATAGGTTCTTGTATTAGGTATTTTATAATATTACGACTACTATAAATAAAATGACGGGACTGGACCCAAATACCTATTTTGGTTGTGCGCGATGTGCGTCTAGGGCCCAATGTCCATTTATTGCCCAAAAATCTATTCGGACCTTACCTCTTGTCCTTAGCGTGCCTCAATGTCTCAGTCTTCAGCCTGACAAAAAAAAAAGTCTCACTCTTCCCTAATCAAGAACTGAATAATGTTTCGAAAAAAGAAAAACTAAAAACAATGAATCAATAAAATAAAAGAAAATCTCTGAGCGAAATGCAACAAAATTGCGGAGATAATTGAAGAGGGACTGTTCATCCAAGTTAAAAAAAAAAAAGAGTAACTTGAGTTAGGCAAATTTAAGTAATGAAAAGATTGTTTGCTCCCTCCTGAGTTAAGTTCGTATATAAATATTGAAATATTTAAAAAAAAAGAAATTCAATTAATTTTAAGTTTGAAATTAATATATCATTTTACTTCTTAATGTGTAAGCGAATGTTTGTATCACCGTTTGATACAATTGAAATAGTTTCCATACTTTCGTAGATATCTTAAACTCGTTGATTAAGAGCGAAATCATTTCAATTCTGACCATGTGAAAATTATAATCAATAATATTAAAAAAACTAAACATGTGATGAATAGAAAAATTCAGAAAAGAAGAAAGAAAGAAAAAGGGTCCTCTGCTCTACACTAATGTTAGGGACCGGATTTCTGTGGAAGCACTATGAGTGCGTACTATTAAGAGAAGAAGAGAGAGATTGAAGAAGAAGTGCTTTTGATATAGATGCCAATTGCAGCATGATAGGACCCCCATTCACCATCATAATATGACTAACGTGCCTTCCAGCTAATTGCTGCCAACACATTGTCCTTAATTTTTTTTTGTCATTAAATCAATTTGTGATTTTTTGTGAACACGACACTATATTGCATTTGCAATTGCCCTAAGACACAACATGGCAATGCACCATGTCTTGTTCAATTCCAGAACAGACACCGCACAGCCGTGACTACACAGTGAAAAAAAGGTTAATAACAATAATAGAGATTTTTCTAATCACACGCAGTCAATTATATGTTAAAAATGAGAGTCAAAAGGTTAAGCAGAGGAATATACTACACCCCTAAATCTTAAACTCTAAACCTTAAAAAAATCAAAAAATCAAAACTCGTGCAAAATTTTTTACTACAACCCTAAATTCATTTTTGAAAATTCTAGTATGAAGTACTACATTAGTCCTTAATAATACAAAAATCTCATATTAGTTTTAAGATTTACAAATATTGGTCACATTTACTATTAAACCTAGGACATTGTAATCCTTGAAAAATATTAATGTCATTCACATTGGTAATTTGAAAATATTAAGACGAATCTTTCATATTTATAAGAATTGATACGTTTCTCAATAAATTTTGTAGAAATAAATTTAGTTTTACCAAATTTTTCTCTTCGAAGAAAAGGGGAAAGAGAAAACTTTCTTTAGGACGATAAATTTACACTACCATCTATTATTGTATTTTAAAATATATATTAATTGAAAAAATATATTTTCTTTTTTCAACTAATGAAAAATATATAATTATTTTTCTTTAATATGGCATTCTATCTCCGCATCTAAAGAGAGTAGTCGATGGTCGAGAGAAAAAAAAATGATTGGGGCGCCCGCAACCTTGTGAAATTTAAACGCTGACTTAATATAGTCAACGAATTCAAAATGTTTGATCTCTGATTCGTGATGTCAGAAAATGAAAGCTTCCAGATCATTCTGACACCCAACCCTACGATTCTCATTTGGATTCACACATTTGCTATCCTAGTCCTTAGAGCATTGGATTATTGATGAAGCTTCTTCTTAACATCGCTTTCCCACAATCAACAATTACTTTTTAATTCCCTCGTATCTTGCAGTAACTAATTTAAATGGAATCGTAATATATGTGTAGAAGCTCACAATCGATCGCAAAGAAAAAGAAAAATCATTCACCGTAATGTTATTCAAATAATACACGTACAATTATCATTTCATTTTGTTTATGAAAATCATTAATTAAGTAACAATTTTCCTGACTCAGTATTATTGAATCTTAACATTAATATACAAGTGGGCATCTTCATACACCTACGATTTATATGACATTCTTCCATTTGCACTTCCTTTCTAAGTCTTGTAAATTAGGTAAGCATTTATTCAAACTTACAGCAATTGTAAACGTAAGGTCAAAGACAGTTTTTCATGCAATTAATACAAGATATTAAAAATTCGGAACGTTAAGGTATGAATGGTCTATTTTATGATGAACTGTAAGACGCTCCCGTGGACAGAAGTGGTCAACACCGGAGCAAGGGTAAAATCATAAACAAACCTTCCTCACTTTTTTAGCTTTTATGAATTCACGTTTATCTTTAACACACACTTTGTGACACCGTGCATCTTCTTCGTCCTAGCTAAAATTGCAAGAGAAATTAAACCCAGAATAATGAAGAAACAATAAGTTGGCATGGAATGATGTTGGTGGCAGCATTGAATTCAATCAACCCCATAGTTAGAATCAATCATTATTATCTCCATCAACCACATGGAAACCACGTCAATTCCTGTTCAATTATAGCTTTTGATCCAAGCCTCAATTCAATTCATGCCTAAAAAATCAACAAATTAAATCTTCAATTTAACCGTCGCAAATACTAAGTAAATAAAAAAATATAAGTAAAGCATGAAAGGATCATCGTAATTTATTAATTTATTTATTATACTAAGAAACCAGACATAAAAATTGTGAACAAATTGCAGATCAATGCCACTAGAAATTCCGAGAGAAGACATAAAAGAGGGGTATGTGCGTGCGTGGTATTTCACATGTCGAGGTTCCCATGCGCAGGGGGCAAATTGGGAAATTCACGAGTGCTTCCACTTCCAACTTACAAACTCACTCTCATTTTCCTCATAATTTCAAGATCTGCAAATCTGCGCCATTATTACCACCATTTTTACCTTTCTTTGCATTTCCTATCAAATCAACAACAACAAAGACGACGAGAAAGCAACTACATAGAGAAACCTCGACGCCGTCAACGCCGACGGAGCCGCGGTGGACGGCGGCGGAGGGCTGTAGTAGTAAAACGGAAAATACGGCACAATAGGGTTCGGCGGCGGCGGCCTCGGGTAGTTTCCGCTGCTCGGAGGAGGGTAGTAGTAGACTCCGCCTCCTCCGCCGCCACCTCCGCCAGATGCCGGAGGGGGTGGCGAGTAGTAGGTACTCTGAGAGGGTGGAGGCGGGGAGTAATAGTATGAACCTCCACCTCCACCGCCGCCGCCGGAGCTAGGAGGTGGGGGGCAATTGTTGGTGGAAGGAGGTGGGAGCGACGGAGATGGAGGTGGTGGCGAGGGAGAGGGTGGTGGTGGCGAGGGAACTTGGTTGCAAGGGTTGTCACAAGAGGAGCACATCGTGCACTGGATCTGCTCGTGTGACGTGGCTTTTAGAGTGTGGTCATGATCTGCATCTCCCATTGCCACTTGCACACTCACACTAACGAGGAACAACAACGTCGTCAAACACAACCTCGTTTTCATCGTTCCTCCACAATTTTTATGAAGGAAGAAAGTGAAGGGAAAAGAAAAAGAAGAAATGAAAGTGGGTGAGTTCATGGAGTGTAGGTAGGGAAAGGTTCGGTTGTGACTTGTGAGTGATTAGTAGTACTCAAACAGTGCTACTAATACCTAGCTCTCGCCCTTTTATTAATGCTCCAACTTTATCATTATAATATATACATATTTTTAACATCAACACTTATAAAATGACAATTAAAAATTTAAAAAAAAATCGGAGGAGTTATTGGACTGTAAAAGATAACACCGACACGTTTTGCTTTCACACTCAGGGCAGCCATGTTTGAATTGAACGCTTGCACTGTTGGATATATGCTTATGCTATGCTATGATAACCAAAAGGAATCATTGGTTAATTTAACTGTTAAATTAAATAACTAACTATGATACGTCCAGTGCTTTGCTCCCTCGCTTTTACGACTAACGTCATATGTAAGTTGCTGTGATTCAATTTAGGTTTCTAACACGACAATTTTATCTATTTTTTACTTTCTATTTGTATTAAGAAATTTTATATCATAATTTATGATGTTTATGTCATGCTATGAGAGCATTGGGTGCATTAACGGTTGGCTACATGGAAGGTTCAAATAACATTTGGATGATTCATTCCTTCCACTTTCTAGTGATAATGTGGCAATGCAGGGACGAGACGTGAAGCAGACGAAAGCTCCACGTGGTGCTTTTTAATAATAATTTTAATGAAAGAAATTTTCTTTTGATTTTTTAACTGTCGTTGTAAGAGATTTAGTTAACATTTTTAAAATATAATTATAATTAATTTAAATTAATAATATTATAAATTTCATATTCAGAACTTTTTTTAAAAATTTAAGAAAATAAAAAACAAATGAAATTTAAAACATATCAAGTTAATATAAAATATAAATGTAATTAACTTTATATTGGAAAAATGTTTTTAATACAAAAATAAATTTTGAAATTAACAAATGACGTAAAATTAATTGCAAAAGCAAACGCAAAATAATAGTAAAATTACACATCATAAAAAAAAGATATTTTAAGAGATTTTTTTTATAATTTAATAGAATGATTCAAATTTATAACACAGAAATAGATTATTAAGTAAAGGTCCCTTCTTTGATAGCTTCGTCGTAAATTAGAGATACACAGAATATAAGGATCTAAAAATAAATAAATATAGAAGTATATAGATTAATAATTGAATAGCTAACTAATAAAATATAAATGAGAAGACACATGCGTTATTTCACTTTTAAAAAGAATACTTAGAAGTCGTTTTTGTTATAACATGATTGCTCCTTATTCATTATCATACACATGATTGGATGCAAAATGACAAAATTATACTACATTTTTATTTCTACTTCTACCGTTGTATTTAAATTCATAAAGTAATGCGATTCTTATTATTATTTTTGCAATACCTTTTTATAAACTTTTTGTTTTCATTGTATTGTTTATTTCAGAAAATTTTTTAATCTCTCACCGAATTGTAAAATGTGTGGTAAGAAGAGGCTGTGAGATAACATTTTTCTTATTCCTACATACTGTGTGCTATCCTTATCTTGAGTAGCCACCATTGACCCAATTACGTTTTAGATCGGCTGCCATCTTTCCAAGACAACTATTTTATTACAACATATTTTTATTTATTTTTTTACCTTGAGTTGTATATTAAGAAAATATTAAATATATTTTATTAAATAATTTAAAATATTAAAATTTTTCATAATTTTAAAATAATATTTTTTAATTAAAAAATTTTAATATACTTTTTTGTTACACATTAAAAAATTAATTAAAATAAGAATTTACTATTTATATATTAAAAAATTACACATACATTTTTATTCTTTTATTTGTGTCACAGTATTGTATTTTACACACGTTAACTAGTGACGAGGCGTTGATAAGATTATTACATAATGACGTGGGACAAGACTGGTTTTTATCTTATTTACAAACTTAAAATCTTCAATTACTGATCAACAAAATAAAATAAATGAAATTCTTCTTACTTTGACAAACTCGTCATATGGCCGACATTTCTAACAGAACGGCGTTAATTGATCTATTCATTATGGCAATGAAATTCAAGTGTTTACTTAGTACAGTTAAAATCTATATAAATGGCTGCAATTAAAAAGTCACACCATAGGGAACTTTTGTCATATATTAACAACGGTTCGAGGAAACATTATGCAATTTAAGCAAACAACACCATATACAGTTTTTGAAATTTAAAAAATATTTTAGTTTCAAAGAGGATGTTATGTTAAAAAGGCTACTTTCTACTGCTGCAAATGGTCGTCCATGGAATCTTTCCTACCCTCTTCGCCACCTCTCTTTTCCCTATCTTCAAATCCTCTCTTTTCAGGTGAATTGGAAGAAACTTGCCGAGTCTTGTTCCACACAGCAAAATCAAGCACTCTTCCAATTTGCAGCGTCCGTATAATAAAATATTCGTCCACGGATCTCATATTAATTGTTCAAATTTAATGCAATTTTTTTTTGCCACGCTTATGTGGTAACCTTACTATAATCGTAAATCGTAAGTTTTAGCATCGATTAATTATTTAACTAAAGTGAGGTGATTGTTTCGTTCTGGATACAGGGCATCAAAAAACAAAAAAACTGATAAAAATAAAGTGAGCAACATTTTGTAGATTATACTTAAACATGAGATCTTGCTGTTGCACTTTACTTCACACTTCCACTTGCTTTTTCATGATTCGGTGATCGTGCAACTGGGAGTTTGTGCTTTTTCAAATATATTATGTTGTATGTATAGAGAAAAACTTTCTAAGCATTATTTTCTGATATTGCTTAGGTAGAGATTATGCTAGGAGCATGGTTAATTGCAATATACCAATTCTTTTCTTTCTTTTACAATGAGTTTGTAAAATAAAACAAAACAATACATGAAACTCACTTTTTGGTTGCCTATAAAAACAACCATAATAACGTATAACTCATCTTGTATATAAATTCGAACTAAATATACCTTAAAATTGACCTAAATGTGCAATTGGTTGTCCGATGAGTATTGCATGTGGAGGATATATATAATATGCCAACTTGTCTTTAATTTCAATATTTCCTTAGGGGTATTCATGATATGGTAGAATTTACTAGTTCAGGTAAAATGTGTAATTTACTTAAGTAATCATTATTTCCACTAACAAAATTTAGGGTCAATGCAATTTTGTCTTATTTCAATTTAGTTGTGATTAGATCATATATGATTGAAAATGAAATTATACCTAAAAGTTAGTTTAATCAAAATTTATAGTCGGATAAAGGGCAATAGCAACCACTTTCAGGACTTGTACCTTTATAACCTAAATTTTCCCGAATATTTATTATCGAGAATGGCAATTAGAGTCAAATTTATTGGGTGTTTGCAAAAAAAAATTGTATATAAGAAGAAAAATTATTTTCTAAATAAGTATGAATTTGGACAATTATTAAAATAATTGTGAGTGTAGATGCTTTAGAACCGACATCACTCCACATCTACATACTTTTAAATATATTAAATTAAAGTTACACATATAACCTTATATATTTTCAAATTAGAGAATGTAAGCTCTCAAAATTCAGGTTCATAAAAGTAATTATGTTTATAATTTTATTATGTTAAATTTAAATATGTTTATATTATTTTAGTTGTTCTAAATAATTGATGTATATAATATCATATAATAAATTATTTTACAATTTTATTAATTTATACTTTTAAGATTAAATTTAACTATTTTAATTAATGATTTTATATTAAAAACATTTATTACACTAGAGAGATAAAAATATAAAAAAAAAACTTAAACTTAATTTTAAAGAATAAAGTTAACAAAATTAATTATTATATTATGTTTATAATTTTATTATATATTTTATGATTAGGTTATAAAAATAGTATTTTAAATTAAAATATAAATAATGAAATTAAATACAAATATATACGTATAAAAAAGAAAAAAAAATAATTACCTACATAGATATTTTTTTAAAAAAATTAGAACATAAATATATGAATGACAACTACCATATCTTATCTAAAAGTGTGCGGCTACGATCCTCTTCATGTGTGTGACATGTCTCCCCACGGTCGTTGATTATGATCCCCTGGCTATTTGTATTAATAATAACTTGATCATAACTTAATATTACAAAATCCACAAGTAACTGTCAACGTTGTTGCTTCGCATGTAACTTGAAAACAGAGAATCAAGTTCTTATCATATACTTCAAACCAATCAGAATCATTTTTATAGAACAATCTCAAAAGTGTTCAAAACTTTTTTATAAGTAAATGAAAGAGAAAATTTTGCTTCTCAAAAGTTATATGCCGAAACATACTATCACCTTTCAAAATTTTGATTGTAAACTTTTTTTCAAATATTTAAAATGTCATCCTATATATTAGTAGTGATTTAAAAATGTTGAGGTCAAATTAATCTTAAAAAAACACCAATATTTTTATTTTTAAAAAGACTAAATGTGTGATAACAAAATTTAAGAGATTAATTTGGTGATAAAAATTTTAAAAAAATTAATATAATAATAATTTAAAATTTCAAAGAATCAGCTTAACAATTAATTTTTTAAAAGACCAAAACACTATCATATTAAAAAATTTAAAATCTAAAAAACTACATTTGTCTATAAATAGAACTAAAATTGTAATAATTTTTTTAACGGGATAATCTAATGATAAAATTTTTAAAGATATAATATGATAAAAATAAAAATTTTAAAAAATTAATATAGTGATTAAAACTTATAAAAAACTTGTGTGACGGATATACGTAATTTTAAAAAATAAAATTGATAGGTTTATGTAAATGAAAATATTAAGCACTTGTTTGAGAGCATGAATATTTTAGTACTACACATTTAGTCAATTAGTGGAATGGCTAGGAGCGTGTTTAATTGCTTCTTAAATAGCCGTTATACATATTGCCAAAAGAAAATCAAAAGATTTTTATAATTTTTAAGATCAAAATTCATTTGAACAATCCAATTCCATGCACAGATCACAATCAAGAGAAAGGCCCTAGGCCTAGAGATATAGGTAAGGTATTTGAATCACTCTGGGCCTGGAGGATCTAACGGGCCTCTCTCATATTCAAATTAAAAAAACAAGGTTGGGCTGCCACAGCACCCTGTGTTAGACGTGAACCCAATCGAACAATGCTCCTCTACTCATGGAACGGAAGTGTTCAAGCGTTTACCTAAAAACAAAGATTGTTTCCAAGCGTTGACAAAAGAAATCGACTATTTCTGAACAAAACTTAGTAAGATATACAGTAGCAAGTTGACGTTTCAAAATTGAAGCAAGCATGGTATTGATAAAAATTATTGAATAGTGCTGATGGCCGAATATATACTTACTTATTATTGCATTTATAATCTAAATTTATAAAATTTATGATTATTAAAATTTAAAATGTTTAAAGTCACTTCTATATAAAAATAATAAATTTATATATTATTTTATATATTTATTATAAAATTTAAAAATGAATCTATTATAAGTTGTATTAAATAAAAATTAATTATAATATTTTCTATAACTTATGAATTAAAATTATATTTGATTCATATTTATTATCTTTGAATTGTATTTAAAAAAATTATTATAATTTATGATTGTTATAAATTAAAACTCCTATAAAAAAATTTTAAAAATCACTGTCAATTGTTAAAAATAAAAAAAATATTGATACAATTCAATAAAAAATTTATTGCAATTGAACAAAAATAATTTTGTAAAAATCTAATAAAATTTTCAAATTACCTTTCAATTGTAAAAAAAAATTGTATGTTATTTCAAGTTATATTCAAATTCAAATAATATTGATTTAAATATTTTATTAATTAGTTTCATATATTTTAGATTAACAAATTCACAATAAATTATGCACTGTTCAAAGAAATAATAAAAGATAATGTGTCTAATAATTAAAAAATTAATGTTTTAATATTCACATTTACGATTGTAAAATATTTTTAAGGTAATTATATTATTTTATATTTAAAATATTTTATTTAAATAAATTATATATATAGTTTATATTTAATTATAAAAATATGAATAAATATATTATAAATAATATTTCTATTTCTATATTAAGACCAACAAAGATTTATGTTAATATTGATATATCAGAGATTTCTTATTTTTTAGATTTATTTAGGTATAAAATTATTTAAAATTTTTCTATTGTGGTAATTGTTCATAATTCTTTATCACTTTATCATAGGTATTTTAATAATGTGCATATTGCTGACTATGTTGATAATACAAGATCTACAGTTCTTCATAAGTTAATAAATTTTAAAAATATATCTAAAATTTTGACTATAACAAAATTAAAGAGTGATATAATAAATATTGTTTCTTTTATACTTTGTTATTCTTATTTTATTTTTAAATTAATTTTTTAATTAATTTTTAGAATGATGTAGTTGATTGTATTGCAATGGTGAATGATACATTATTTCAAAAAATTAATATTGTATTTCTTGCTCTTATTGCTAGAATAAATTTTCTTTTGCAGCTACAAAATTAAAATGTGAATTATATTATAAAGATATTAAGCACTCAGTAATAAGGTAATTGAATTATAACACTATTAATTCTATTTTTTAAATTTTAATATTAAAATAAATTAGAATATATTATTATATTGATTTATATACATTACAGGGTTTATCTTGAGTTTAATGTTAAAAATTTTACTAATTCAACTGTATTTGTCTTATTTGATTAAGTTGTTAAACAATTAGTACAAGTGAAGTTAAAAGATCTCGTTGCAACATTTGAAATTGTAAGCAAATATTTTAAGATTTAACTTAATGAAAAATTTAATCAAATGATTGATTATATAAATAAAATATATTAAGGTAAATAACTATTTTTATGTGATAATTTTTTCATGATGACGGTAAAGGATTGAAGTTGCCTCTATAACTTTTAAATATTATTGATACTTCACATTTTTTCAAGTAAAAATGAGAATTTACTTTGAAAATTGTGGAAGACAAAGTTTCACAATAAATAAAATTTTGAAACACCGATAATAAAAGTAATATAAAAGATTAAATTATAATTTATTTTTTTTATTTATAATATTTACAATACAATAATAAATAACTTTATTTTTAATTTTTAATATTTACAAATTGATAAAAAAAAAGTTTAGACAATATAAATATAAAAACAAAAGAAAATGATATGTCAATAAGTTATACGTATATCTCTAACTATAGAAACACTAAAATTACCAAATAAAAAAAAAATAATGTATAATTTATAATTTTATATTGTATTATAATTTTTTTTTAAATTATACAGTAATTTATATTTAATATTTTGTTTTAAGTTGCAACTCGATAAGGATGAAATAAATAATATTGAACAAAAGATAACAATAAAATATTTAAATGATTGAATAATTTTATTGTATTATTGTATAAATACTTTAAAAATTTTGTAAAATTTTAAAAATAGAATATTACCAAATATTTTTGTTATCTTATTATATATATTCTCTTACTTTATTATATATATATATATATTATATTGACTTTATTCTTATAATAAAATTTATTTATATTTTATATGTGAATCATAATTCTATACAATTAATTTTTGTATTTAATAAAATTAATTTTTTTTAGTTTCTATTTAAATTTTAATTAAAATTATTAAATATATAAAAATATATTTATCATATTTTTTAATATAATTATATTTGATATTATTTAATATAATAAAATTTTGTTATTATATTTTTTATATTTAAATTACAATTTTTCTGATTATTTTAATATAAAAATATAAATAAATTTGTATAACACACAAATATATTTATTAATTTATAACTAAATTATTATTAAAATCTATAATATTTAAAGTGACATATAAATTAATTTTAACTATTATATATTTTTTATATATAATTTATTTTAAAAAATAATTATAATTTTGATTTAACATTTTTATCTTTTTATCACATTAAATATAATTAATTTTATATTTAAGTTATAATTATGTTAAAATTAAATAAAATAATAAAAATATAAATATATTTGTATAAATCTATGCAACTTAGGTCATATTTACTAGTATGTGGGCAATTTTTACTATTTGGCTATAAGTGAATTTACCAAAATTGTGACCAGTAATGGACATGAGAAAATTTGTGGAAGAAATATTACAGTGTCGAACACAGACGTGCCCGCAACTCAAGCCGCGGATTTATGAACTATGAAAGAATATTGGAATGTTGTCTTGGTAGGTTTGGCCGAGTTAAAGGTTGGCACTTGGCACATGAAACTGGGTCAACCAATCAAACGGGCGTTGGGTAGTCGAGAAAGGCAAACGAAAATATTACACTCTTCACTGATGAGTCAATTTCTAAACCCAACTCAGTAAGAGGCAAAAAGGTTCAAGCCTTAAAGCTCCATCCTAGTTGGGGATCTAACAATTCAAATTAAAGCATGTAATAGTGATATAGCTGTTTAACCATGGAACGTTTGAGTCTAGGAATTTTAAAAAAGCGAATCCTTTTAGAGTAAAGACGCTCCTTTTTCTTATTTTTCCTTCGATGGAGTATTAATTAACGCAAATAAACTGTTTTTACAGAGTCCAACTTAAATAATAAAATTTAATGGGGTAATGGAAATGGAGAGACACGCAATGGAAATAATCAAACGAAACACGCCGTGAAAGAAAACAAAATCAATAAAAAAATCCTAACACGTTCAAGCATCAAGGATTCACACACTGATTACAGCTTCTTCTAAGCTGTAGCTCCCTTTTAAACGCGTTTCTTTCAACAATCACTTTCTCTCTCAATAAGAAAAAAGGCACTTACTTATACGGTGTTTCTCTCTCATAGTTCAAAATTCGAATTTGAAAGCCCAAACCCACGCATGAAGATGCTCTGGCCCCTATCAACCCACTCTTGCTGCATCAGTATCGCCATCTTAACAATCTTCTTCGCAACGACGTCGTTTAGCGATGCTCAAACCTGCAACGGCATACTCCTCTCTTACGCCTATGCCGGCGGAACGCGGCTGCCGCCGAACGTCTCCGACCCGGCGAAGCAACCGTATCGGTTTGAGTCGACGCTGACGGTGCTCAACAACGGTCTCGACGAGCTCAAGTCTTGGAAGGTCTTCGTTGGGTTTGACCATGACGAGTGGTTGGTCTCCGCCTCCAATGCTGTGCTCTCCGACGGCACCACTCTCCCCACCGGTGTCGGAAACGGCACTGTTTTTGCTGGATACCCCATGACTGATCTCAAGACCGCCGTGGAAACCGCCGGCGACTTGACCCAGATGCAGGTTCAGGTGGACCTCGTCGGAACCGTGTTTGGGGTGGCGGCGCCGAGTGTTCCTATGCCCTCTTCCATCAGCCTCGCCAATGATGGTTTCATCTGTCGCAAATCCACCACCCAAGGTAATTTTTTTGCTTGATCTGTGATTGTATGAATGATGTTTGTGAAAATGATGATTTGTCAAGGTTGCATTTTTAATGGCAATGGGGTTAGGTTGTTGGGTTCGTATTGTTTGATCTGTGAATTGATGAATTGGGTTTGGTGAAATGGTGTAATTTATGAAATGGTTTGTGATTTATTCTTTGTGGGTGGGCTTTTCAGGGAAGAATGCGAGTAGTGTGTGTTGCACGAGAGATCCCAAGTTCAAAACAAACATAACGACAGATGAAAAGTTTTTGCCACGTCAGAATGGTGATCTTACCATTATGTATGATGTGATCAGAACCTATGATTCCAATTATTGGGCTGAGGTTACCATTGCAAACCATAACCTGCTTGGCAGGCTTGACAATTGGAGGTTGAGTTGGGACTGGATGAATGATGAGTTTATATATTCAATGAAAGGGGCTTATCCCGCAGTTGTGGATGCTTCTGATTGTGTCTTTGGTAAGCAAGGTACATTCTACAAGGATCTTGACTTTGCCAATGTGTTGAATTGTGAAAGAAGGCCAACTATTATTGATCTCCCTCCCACCAAGTTCAATGATACGGATCTTGGGAGGATCCCCTTTTGCTGTCGCAATGGTACTATATTGCCACCATCGATGGACCCTAGCATGTCTGCTTCCAAATTCCAAATGCAGGTCTTCAAAATGCCGCCATCACTTAATCGGTCCCAGCTTTCTCCGCCACAGAACTGGAAGATAAATGGTACCCTCAACCCTGACTACAAATGTGGCCCTCCTGTCCGGGTCAGTCCCAGTGAAAATCCAGATCCATCAGGCTTACCGTCGAACAAAACTGTAATGGCCAGTTGGCAGGTTGTGTGCAACATAACAACAGCCAAGGGAACACCAAGCAAATGCTGTGTCTCGTTTTCAGCCTATTACAATGATTCAGTTATTCCTTGCAAAACGTGTGCTTGTGGATGCCCCAAGAATACAGAAAGAACATGTAGTACCACTGCTCCAGCTATGTGGCTTCCACCAGAGGCACTCCTTGTTCCTTTTGAGAACCGAACTGCCAAGGCTGTTGCTTGGGCTAGTCTGAAACATTTGCGGGTGCCAAACCCGATGCCCTGTAGCGATAACTGTGGTGTGAGCATTAACTGGCATTTATACACAGACTACACTAAAGGATGGAGTGCAAGGGTCACACTTTTTAATTGGGGTGAGACTAACTTTGCAGACTGGTTTGCTGCAGTGCAAATGGACAAAGCAGCTGCAGGTTTTGAGAAAATGTATTCATTCAATGCAAGTACCCTAGAATTAAATGGCGTAAACAATACAATAATTATGCAAGGTTTGCCGGGTTTGAACTATCTCGTAGCAGAAAGAGATGGAGATGACCCTCTGAGAGATCCTAGGGTGCCTGGTAAACAACAGTCAGTAATCTCATTCACAAAGAAAACTACACCCGGAATCAATGTAGCTGGTGGAGATGGGTTTCCAACCAAAGTGTTTTTCAATGGGGAGGAATGCTCTCTTCCTTCAGTGTATCCAAGCAGTGGTTTCAGGAAGGGTTTTTCATGGTCTACTTCCATGCTTTTAACACTGTTTCTGATCGTCTTGATGCGGTGATAGTGGCTATGTTTGATTTTGGCTCTGACTTGCTGTTGTCCCGAGACAGGATTTAATTCATATATTGACCTCACCACAGGAACACAGTGAGAAACGTCAGTGGACTTAGTCGTGCTGTTGTATCATTCATGCTGTATGTGTGGTTTGGATGCTGTGGCAATCATTGTTTAATTGATATGTGATTCTTTCGAGCATGTTACAGTACAGAAAGATTGTAGATTTCCGTTAGGTGATAGAAATATATTACTTTGTCTATTGAAAGTATTTATTTTTTCTTTTTCTCTTTTTGTATTTGTTTTATTTTTGAGCAACTCTTTTAGGCAGTGGTTATTGCAGGTGTTCAAATCATTAAAAATGTTTCACACGTCCATAAAATAATTGTGCCTTAGAAATGACATTGTAATGGCAGATGTGTATAATTAAAGTTCTCCTTGTCTTGGTCAGTGATGAAAACTGGGATAACATTGTTTTGATAACCGAGTAGAACCAAATGATTCAAACTGCAATGAACCAACCAGGAGACTGTTTCCATGGGGAGGACACTAAGGGTCACTTGGACTCCTACAAAATTGGTTGAGCCAAAAGTCAGTAAAGAATTAATTAACCTAGTTCAATTTCACTGATATAAAATTTGGTTGAATTGTTCCTTTTCCAGTTTTCTAAACAAAATTTGTTCATCGCTGACCAAGATTGGGAAGGGGATGTGGGAAGTTTTAAGACACAAGATTCAAATCATGGTCTTATTGCATATAATCTGCTAGCTCTCATCACTTGAACTATACCGCCAGTTTATTCAAAAATATTTTTTAAACAAGTAAAAGTCTACATATCATGTAGGGGTATTAAAAATAAGCTGAGATCAATGAACCCTTTTTTTTTTTGTCTAAAATAAACAGCGAAGCAATGTTTTTACTGGTAGTGTAGCTTCATGACCAACACGAGTTTTAAAACAGAAGTACTTTTATAGAGCGGAATATCTAATCCCACACAATTTTTATTGGGAAAAAAATTCGTGGTAGAGAAATGATTTAAAGAGATTTGTATTTTCGTAAATCTCTTATCATTGTAGAACTAACTTTAATAATTGAAAGACAAGGCTCAATTGATAAAAAAAAAAAGAAGGCGCGCATAGTACAATCGTTGAGGGGTCTATGCTCTATGCAGCGTTCTTTTACCCCATTAATTAGTTAAAATTTATGTAGACTTTTATTTATTTATCTTTGTATGAATATGACTGTTTAATCATTAAAGTATATGCTTTGGTCTTACTCAACCTCAATAGTAAAAATAGGAAATAAGCAACTTCATTCCTGAAATTATATATGCGAACAAGTAAATAAGTTTGTAAAATTTTTATCAGCCTATTTTTTAGGTCTAATATTTAATTTGAAAAAAAATACGACCAAGCCGATACCATATTTTAAAAATCCAGAACATATTCGCATAAATAATTCAAATATATAACCAAAATAGATAATAATTTTGATAATTAAATTGCTAATATGGCCAATTAGGTTGAGTGAATCCGAAAGAAAACCCAGTAAAAAGAACTGCATTAAACTGATTATTGAAGACTCGTAACTTCCAAACTTCAACATGTAAGTATATAACACCTTTTATCCAACAAATAATTTATGATTAACATTATATATAATTTATGAATCATGCTTAAATTATATGTGGATTACCATGTTAACGCTCTAACAAGCTAATTAAATTACAATAGATTGTCTAGTATTTCTTATTCTCGTCTTCGGTTAAATGAGCAAATCTCCAATCTCCTCTAGATTCCTATACACCCCTCAAGCATGCTTATAACTAAGCAGGCCTAAGCCACTACATTAACAAATACAAGCTGCGAAGCATTGAAGTATGAGAAGTGAAAACAACTGAAACAAGTACCACATAGCTTCACACTATCTTCAATACTGATAAACTGGTAGCCATAAAATCCATGAGTACCTAATGAAGTTCATGTACAAAGAATGCATAACATAATGAACATAAAAACACAAACCTATCAAAGTACAGAAGCGACCAGAAAAGAATGGCCAGACCAAATGTCTTGAGCAACCAAATGCAATATTTACATGCTTATGGAAGTCATTTACTTACTTCGAAGAAAAGGAACAAAAGAAATTTTTTTCATAATTTTGTCATTAAAGTTAGAGATGCTCCTACGAGTCTGCAGATGTATCAAAACCTTGCTTCTGCAATTCTGTCCCCCTAAGCCAACATACCTTCCAAGGACAACCTAAAATTAGAAGTTTGCTAGCAATTTTGCTTTCAACAGCAGTCAAAAATTGCACATGCCTTGTGCATACATATATATATATATATGTATGTGTGTGTGTATATATATATATATATATATATATATATGCAGTTGACTTTTGTAGCTGATTCATCTTTGATCAATCAATCAAATGATCTTGAGCACCCAGACTAAACCATCATAGTATGCTACTCCCACAAGTCTGAATATTTGACATCAATCAAATTCTGTTTGTTGAATAATTTAGACTCAGTTCCAAAATAGCTAATTGCAGAATGATAAGGTGCATATGTAACACAAACTATTTACACTGGCAACTGCAATTAGAAAGAACTGGGCAGGGTTTGTTCTAGACAGGAATGTTGTCGAGAGAATATCCATCAAAGTCAAACTCACTCTCAGCTGGTCCAATTCCTTCTTGCTGCCAGATTTAGAAACAAAGAGAAATATGATTCAATTATAATGAAAAATTAAGCACAAGCATATATGCATATTTCAGGTCCAAGTAGAAGAATGAAGGACCAACCTGCTTTAGAAGTGCACTCATCAGATCCTCCTGTCCATAATGCTCAGGGAAGAGGTTAGTCTGGGAGCTTGCATCAGGAATCCTTTCAGCCTTAACCCTAATTGAATTGTCAACAATAAACGGATTGAGATGCTGAGCCACATTTTGGAGATTATCGTGTTCCAAGCCTTCTCCCATGGAGAACATAGTTTTTCCAATCAAGGAGGTATCTCTACTTTGGCCAGTTTGCTTTGTAGAAGAAAATCCTTGATGGACTAAAACTGAAGGCGAGACATCGATGCTACCTTGTAAAGGATTTGTATGCTGGGAGGGATCGTATGTCAGGCCTGGGTTTGTTATTTCCCAATCACGGGGCTTCTGATGGTGCAGTTCATTAAAAATATCATAACTAGGAAATCCACCAGATCCTTTAACCCCCGATGTAACTTCCTCTTGAAATGAGCCCTTTGTTGTGATACTGGATATACCTGGAGTGCTTCCAAGAGGAAAATTATTGTTGACAGACACTTCAGAGTTTTGATTCAATGGAAAAGTCAACAATGAAGAGCCCTGTGGAACAGGATTATAAGCAGGTCCTCTGTTGCTACCAGCAACCCCGTTTCTGCCCAGAAGACCGTTAGAAATTCCATTTGACACAGTAGGTTGTCCCAAGGATGATGGAAGTCTGGGAACTCGAGGACCAGTATTTTCACTCAGCATCTGACCTCTAGGTTGTGACTGCACCATCTGCATCAATAAGGGGTTGCTCTGTGTGGCAGGAGCATTGACTCGCATATTCAAGCTGCCAAGGGATTGGGTGGAGTGGTGCAAATTGGCAAGCTGCTTTGGCTCCATGTTGGTGGGGATTCCATGCAGTAAGTTCATTGGTTTACTACTGTTTAAATGTTGCTGTTGGCCTTCTCCAAATCTTAACCTTGGGTTTTCAAAACTGAAAAGGTTTCTTTGATCCATTAGAGGCATAGGTACACCAGGTTTTGCAGTTGACCTACCAAGTCCGGCTGCTTGAAGTGTGGCTAGACTTTGTGCTGGGAGCTGGCCAGCAGCTGCAAGAGTTTGAAGATCAATCCCATTAATTGAAGAAATTGTCCCAAACGACGCCTCTTGGGGGCTTAGAAAGGAGTTGTTCAAGTTACTCTGGTGCTGAGAAACTCCACTCAGCCTTCGAAGATACAATCGATATTTCTGTAACAAAAACACAATGAAAAAGAAATACATCATTTAAGTAATCATAAGCATTGATGACCACAAGAAAATTAGGGAGAAAAATTTAACTCAAGTCCTTCCCAAAGTACATATAGAATAACAGTATAATACCTGCAGGTGGCTGGCAACATTTTCTCTAGTGAGTCCAGGAACATTCATCAATTCCAGAATTTTTTTTGGAACAGCTTCTGAATACAAATATCAAATTTGAATCAGGCAAGACTCGATAAAATCAGCATTCTTATAAGATACATATTCAAGCAAATTACAAATTTAGACATAAGACCAAGAGATAAGATGAATGAGAGAACATACAAGGTGTTGACGGTGGGGATGAGGGAACATAGAGGAAAAGAGAGGATGAAGATTGAATGCACACAGGATAAAATTAGGGTAAAAAACTCACCTAGGATAGTTTGATGATGTTAGAAAACTAAGAGGCTCCAACAAGAAAAGTGGATCAATAGTCGAATAGGGCAGAAGAGGAAATCAGAAAAATGTAAGAAATACCATTAAAAAAAAAACTGCTATAAATGGTTTTAGAGAAAAATTTAATTTTTCATTGAGCCCAAAGGCTATCACTTGACTGTTGATGTAATTTTAAAGCCACACATGAATCTCAATCAATTATCTATTAAAACTACTGATATAGTTTGAAAATTGATTTGTGTATGAGTTGACAGTATGCAAAACCTAGATGCAATGATCCCGAATAGGGAACTAAAACTGAAGATCCAAGTAGTAAGAGTGTTGTTTGAGTCTTTCAGAAACAGTAAATATACACACAGAATCTCCATGACTATACATCAGAAGTTCTGATGTATTTAGATAGGTAATCATGGAAAAGCAATAAAGATGAGAAAACTATTTTTTCTCACAGACACAGGTGAAGGACTCATACTGTCAATTCCCAGTTGATCCACAGCAGCCACAAATTGTTGATGGAGCTCCACAGACCAAACAACCCGCTGCTTCTTTAACGTGGATGTGTCATCTCTCTCCTCTGCTTCCTCTTCCTCGTCCCTTCTCTTCTTTGAGTTCCTCCAACTGCCTTCATTTGCTGAGGATGAGTAATCTGCTTCATCGGATGCCTTCTGCGGCCGATCTCCTTCTTCAGCACTGCCCGATTGCTCCGTATCTTTCCACTCATTCTTCTTCTTGCGAACCACATGCTGCCATATGTTCTTCAAAGCCTCAATGCGAACAGGTTTAATTAGGTAATCGCAAGCACCATGTGTCACACCCTCCATAACAACATTTTTACCATCATCTGCAGACATCACTGTAAATTACCACACAAAACATGTCAGTCTCAACATCAATGCAGTCCACAAATAGATCTAAGCCAGTTACTTACTGATAACAGGAAGGTCCATCTCCAACCCAATGTGCTCTAAAAGCTTAAATCCATCCATGTCTGGCATATGCACATCACTTATAACAATGTCAAACCCATTTTTGTTCTCTCTGAGAAGTGAAAGTGCAATCTCTGCTCTATTGCATTTGGTGACTGAAATTAACTCAACAAAATCATTTCTCAAAATCCATAATCAACCAAACAACAATTCCACAACATAAAAAAAAACAAATCTGACATCCAAAAGCTCAAACCCAATAACGAAGGTTTCATTTGAAGAAAAAATCAACAAACAAATCTGGCATGTCAAAGTGAAGGGCAACAAACACATGAGTTAGATACACTTCATGGTACGAGAAATCAAGTGAAAAGCAAATAAATTTGAAAAGAAAGAAAGCTACCCTTGAATTGAAGAAACCATATATAAAAAAGGGTCAGAGCAATAACACTCCTTCATGCAACAAATTAACACCAAGTAGCCCTCTAAGAGCACGTAATCGTTAAAAAGAACATAAAGTTAGGCTTTTTATTTTCTCTTTCATGTGTTTTTCTTTTGGGGTGTGGTTGTTCAACAAACTGAGCGTCCAATCGGCAAAACAAAATTGGAGAGAAACAGAAACTGATTGAACCTTCGTAGAGACATGTGCGCAACATCTTCTCGAGGATCATGAGACACGTAGGATCATCGTCCACCACAAGGACCCTTAGACCCACCGGAAACTTGTCGGAGACGGCGTCGCCGGACTTCATAACTGCACTTGTAGTAACCGTTGACATGGATCCCTTGCCGTTACTGAGATTCCTGCTTGGCAGATCCAAACCGAACAGTAACACCGCAACAAACTAACACGAAACGACAGTGGCGTTCACATAGTTTAGTTAAGTTCGAATTTGAAGCGAAAGCGAAAACGAACAATTGAAGCTGAGTTCTGAATTCAACCAAACGCAACGCAGGAATCGGAGAAGAAAGAAAGAGAAATCGAATTTTGGGTCACAAAAATTATTTATAAAAATAATATAACTATTGTTCTGCGCCTCAGGCTTATGTCCTCGCCTTGTCACTGTTTCGCGCTGAATTTCTCGGGTATTTAATTACCATTCTTTAATCAATTATAATAAAAACTTTACTAATCAGTCGGATTAAGCAACATTTATTATTTTTTATTGCCAATTTTTAATTGTTCAAAGTAATGTCCTTTTATTAAATTTTTAATGCCATGAATGTTTTATTACACGATTAATAAATTTCCAACAATATAATATTTTTTGTTTATTTTTTACGATTATATATAATATTGAAAGTTGGGTCTTACTGGCTCCTGAAAGAGTGGATCCAGCTCATTCATAGGAGGAACTAACCCCTCATCTTAAATCCACACTCCGACACAGCTCACCTATGAAGGTTTCGGATTTTACTGTGCCTATGTTTAGTGCTACAAAAGAGTGAAAAAGAGAGAAATGGTTGACGATTAATCATAGGATGCTGATTAAAAAATTAAAATAGAAAACATTAAATGACAATAAAAATATTCATCGTGCTATAAAGTTTAAATTAATATTTTCTGTTTAAAATAATTAAACATATTTAATAATTTAAAAATATCAAATCTTCATCAATCAATTAATACCTTTAAAGTAGTTATCAGTATATTCATATTTTAATTATTAAGATCACTGTACAAAATTTTTGTCTTATATACCGAGTATTCAGGTTATTGAGGTGAAGTATGGAGTTATTTGATTTGATAATTATTTAAAAATAACGAGTTAATTTTATTTCATGTAAAAGTTCATAAGATGTGTGACACAAAATGAATGAGAAAATGTGCGACTGTATATTTGTTAAGAATAATACAAAATTACATTTATAATACAAGAATTAATCAAACAAATAATAATGTTTAGGGAGGAAAAAACAAGGGTGAGATAAATCTATTTATTTTTCTGGTGAAACCATGTGAACGTTTGATTTATTTAGTGACATAGCTTAGCAAAACATATAATAACTGTGATATATTTTCTGTTCTTCCATCTTGTGGAAATCATTAAATAAAATGCTGCGTAGCTGTATGTATCCAATAATTTCAGGTATGCAGAAGCTTTAACAAATGAAAAAATAAAAAACAAATACAGACCAAAAGGATTTATTTCCATTTATAGAATGGAGGCATGTTGGCAAATTTATGTCGATAGTTAATTGTGTGTAAAACATGGTAACAAATTATGGTGTTTTATATATGTGACGTAAATGGTGTTTTAAATTCGTGGAACAGAAATATAAATATGAATTATTAAATGCCTTTGTAGACATTTATGTGTCGTAAAGTATGTTAATTGCTAAGCAATTAGTTGAAATTTTGATTGAAAATGTTTAAAGAGGACAACATTAATAGAATTATTTAATTAGAATTAAAATTTTATCTTAATTCGTGACAAGGCTAACTTATCGATGGCATTTACTAATTACTAGTCTCTTTACTGCACCTTTTTTACTTGCACATATTATACAGTAGGGCATGGCACATGGACATATAGAATACTACAGCAAGCATTATCCATGGTGGGTCACTATTTAACAAGCCACAAATAAATAAATTCCTACAAAGCTAGATGTTGGTAGTTTGGGTCAATGTCCACATACATGTAAACCAATGCCAAATTATGCAAGCCAGTTCATTGATTTGACCCGGAAATACTTAATTGGTTGGGAAGCACCGTGACATGCACACCATGGAAACGTAACCAAGCACAAGCATTAGGAAATTGGCAACTTTTGTTCCTTGCAAATAAATAGAACAACTATTAGTTAAAAATAGTGTTGATGTGCCCAAATACAGGTTGCCAGTACATAGTAATAAAGTAGGGTTTTCATTCCATACTTAAGCAATGTTGGCATGGCAACCACCACATCCCATTGTGGTGGTGGTTTGGGTATCCACTTTGATGTATGGAGAGTGGCCATTCCAAAATTTGCAAGTCCTTGTATACTATTATTATTGTTCTTCTTTTTTAGCCTTCCTTCAAAAAGCACCTTGCTACTCGGCATATTATCCAAGTCCCAAGGGGTAAAAATAAAATGAAAAGAAGGAGAACCTTATTATTTAATTAAAGAAGAATCGTATAGAATGATGTTTATAAAAATAAGAAACGGAGTGCAAAGTGGGTATGCCGTTCAAGAACTTTTTGATTCTGAATGATGTAAAAGAGTGAAGCTCTGCTTTTGAAGCGACTTCAGTTCAATCCATTGAACAAGTTGAATCCCTATCCTTTCCTCAGTATTATCTCTGTCTCTTCTGTTTGCGTTTTTCAGTGTGCATTCTGACTCACTCTTTCCCTTTTTTATGTAAAGAAATTATATTGGTTATTCCTCCACCATTTTCCCCCCACTCGACACGTGTCTCTCCGCGCCACTTTCATCGGATAAGGTCTCCTTGGCTTATATTGCTCATTTGCTCTTTCATTTTCTAATCACAGCTACTCCATGCTCTTTTTTAAAACTCACTTCAAGATTCAAAATAAACTTTGATTAAAAGGGTATATGTAATATATAATATTCAATATTTTAAGTAATATGTTCTATCTTTTTACTCGGAATTAAATGGACGATTAAAGTAATTGTGTTGCCACATGAATCCTAAACTTGATCGTCCAAGTGACGAAATATATATATTGAAAAAAAAAAAAAGGGACTTAGGATAGTGTCATAATTCCTTAGATAAGCAAGCAATCCACGCACTCTCGAATATTTTAATGAATAATACTAATAAATGTAAAAAATATATCCCTTTGTTTTTTATACTGCAGGAAAAGCAGTGAAGCATAGCCATAAAGCAGCAATCTGCAAAACGTATATTCGCTTGGGAACCTTTTCTTTCTTACGATGAATAAATAAGAGCACACAAGAAACGCTTTTCACTGTGAAAAAGTGGCAAACGCTTGCGTTAGTTTGAATAAGTAAACAAAACACCAAGCCCTTCCTCTCTCTCTCTCTCTAAAGTAAGAAATTTTATATTCTTAATTAATTGTTCTTGCTTAGTTCAAAGTTGAAATTAAATTTTAGACCACTATGTATCATTACGTGCATAACTTAAATCGTGCATTTTATAAGAAAATGCGAGAAATGACTTAATAATTTCAAACCAAATAAGACCTTGTAAAAACAAATTAATAATTCATACTAAAATTAGATAACCGTGACATTGTCATTCCCCAGTGGCCACTGCTTCCCTCGTCGGTCTTAGCTATCACTTTGGCTCCTCCCAACAGATTTAAATCTTTAAAGTTGATGATTGAATATTATTAATAATTATTGTTTGTTTGTTTGTTTCGTTTTGTTTATTTGTTGTTCTCTGAATTTAAGCTTTTTATGGATTAGAGAATGGAGAAAACAGGTGATATATGCTTTTAAGGAAAATGGAATATTTGTGCGTGAGAGTGTTAGAGAGAGAAAGAGAGAACAGAATTCATGCGTGGTATTAAAATAATTTATAATTCTACGTTTGAGTTTGGGAGTGGGTTGAGGTGAGATAAGTTAAGACAGATGGCGATTCATGGAAGTTGGAGAAAAGTCTAAGCAACTTTTACCAACTTTTCCCTGTCTTTCTTCGCATAATAATTCACTCTCTCTGCTGCTTGTGCTTGTTTATGCCCATTTAAATCATGAGTCCCATATCCAGTCACATTTCTTTCTTGTTTTCTACTTTTCCTATTCAAATATAGTATTCTAATTCTTTCTTTTGGCTTCAATTTTGAACTTGTGTTACCATACTTTGAATGCCACCATCCTCTTCCTTCTAACAATTCTTATTTAAATAAACAATCCCACCATTATTGTCTTCATTTTCCTCGTGAAATCTCTTTTAAACAAACACAAAAATACATCAACAAATAATAGAATAATATTTTTTATAAAAGATGTGTATATATAAATATATCAAGTAAAATAGTCAGTTTTACATAAGAATGAAAAAAATTCACTTGTTTGATTCTAAATGTAAATAATCAACATTAAAACAAAATTGTATAATTTTTAATTAATTATATAACTTTAATTTTTATATATAATTATACTATTTAAATTTATTATTCTCTTGCTTTCGTATAAAATTTAACCCTCTAGATTAGACTCGTTCCTTATGTCGTTTCCGTGTTTAAGTAATCAATGTTTGACAAGAAGGCCTAGTTTTCTTTTCTTTTTTATTTTAAGTTAAATTAAAAAATTAGTTTCCGTAGTTGACAATTTTCTTTATTTGATCTCAATATTAAAAACACTTTAAATTTAATCTTGACATTAAATAGTATTATAATTTTTTATAAATATTAAATTAATATTTTTTGTTAAATGTGATTATCAAAATGTGAAAAAAATGCAAACTAAAACGAAGTATGAAATTTTTTTTATACAGATACGAAAATAAAAAAAAGTATAATAATTAAATATAAAACTATTGTAATGCGACAAACTGTAAAGATAATTTTGTAATTTTTTTATTTAAATACCAGATTATATAATTTTTTATATAAAAACTAAAACAAAAAAATAATACTAAATGTTCAGAGTAAATATTAATTGAACCTTTGTTTGAATAAAAATCAGGCCGAAAAAATGTTGTTGTTACATATATATATGCCTGAGATATAAAATAATATCACCAAATATACAAAACATGTTCAGTTTTTTATTGTAATGTCGTATTTATGTCTGTAAAAGTATAGATAACTTTTTTCACCCTTTTCTTTTATTTGTATTTGTATTATCATTACTTTTGTTTTATAGTAATAACAACTGAAATAAATAAATTAATAAGTGCTATAACAATAATAATTTTCTAAATGTACTAACATTATATATGGTAAAAAATTATATATAATTTGTTATTAAAATTATTAAATTTAATATGTTGATATTATTAAATTTTTTAATTTTTGAATAGAAAAACTAGTTCTTAATTTTATATTATGTATAAATATAATAACAATAACAATAATAATAATAATAATAATAATAATATAATTTACA